GATGTTGCAAGATGGAAGGGCTTAAATCCCTGAGTCACCATGTGGAAGAGGGCTGTTTAAGAGAATGTCCCAATGTCTACACTGGCATTGTGTGAATAATAACTCTTACTGTGCTAAGTCACTGAAAGTTGGGGACTGTTAGTTACAGAAGTTAGCCTACCCTTTAAAAAAAAAAAAAAACTAATTTATATGTAAGAATTGAATCTATTTCAATAAAACACTTTTTCTTATTATCATACAAAAAAACTAGATAAATGTTTTTCAAGCTTGTGGTACATTTAGGATACTTTGATTCTGCATATACACTAACTAGTGTACATGAAATTTGCTTTGGAGAATCCTTGGAGGAACCTTAAAGGGTTAAGCAGTCAACCTCCAAAGGCACAACGTGCCTGCGTGATGACTGATTCAGACCATAAGCTGTGCACACTAAGATTCAAGAGAAACAGGAACATGTTTCTACTATAATCACCAGATCAGAAGCTACTTAGGGCAGACACCTGGATGTCACATGTTAGTTTCTGATAGAATTACGTATCACACGAGCAACTCCAGATGGATTGCTCTAAGGTATATAACAATAGCCAGACTGATTTTTTTTTTAATGATGGTTAATGATCCTCCAAAGGAAGGCCAGCTTCTGAAAAGACAAATGTAAAGTGACTGCCTAATGAAGTGCTTGGAACACAGACATGACCTTTCCCTGCCAGCTCACCATAATAGTTGCCTGCTTGTCTCTCGGTTACCTGCTCATCTCACGTCTAGACCAGGGAACTGTGTTGCAAAAAGCATCCCTTCAGATATGGAGGACCAGGTGTGTCCTAGGTAGACCTTGACTAGTGGAAAATTTTTCTTAGCTTTTGAGATACAGGAGAGCCCACTGGTGAAGCTGATAGAATTTGAGAGGTAAAACATTTCTCAGATTGTTTCAATGACTTTCAGTCTTGGCTCAAAATGGATGTCACACTAGAACCATCGTTTGCTGATCAATTAGTTCAGGGCCACATCAAACAAAATGGCATGGAATTTATTTAACACGTTAAGGGGGAAAGACTAGTACCTTACAAACTAATGTTTAGTATACATAGTGATATTTTAGATGCCATGGTTTGAGCTATGATATGACCTGATCTTTTTTTATTTAAAGTGACGTTTTGAAGGTGGGCCTCATTTTTCTTTCCTTGAATGTAGACTCTACATAGTGACTGGCTTCTAAAGAATGGAATACGGAGGAAGTGAAGGTGACTTTTGAGATTAGGACTTGCTCTGGGGGAAGCCAGCTGCTCTGTTGTAAAAACAATCAAGCAGCCCCACAGAACGGTTGATATGACATGTAACTGAGGCCCCCCACAAACAGACAGGGAACTGAGGCCTTCATGTGAGTGAGAGATCACAGCCATGTAGATGAACTATCTTAAAGAGAATCATCCAACCCCAGTCAAGCCTTCAGATGACTGCAATCCTGGCTGACATCTTGACTGCAAATTCCTGACAGATCCTTTTGAGTTGCCCCCAAATTCCTGACCCACACAAACTGTGAGATAATGTTTGTTATCTTAAGCTGCTAATTTTTGGCGTAGTTTTTTATATAAAAACAGACAATTAATAGAGGCACCCTTTTCCAAGACCAACAGCTTTAGAGCTAGGGCCCTCTTATGCACAAAACAAAGCATACAATATTGCATTTTAGTTAGAGAGGGGTGTGTGTTTGTGTGTGTGTGTGTGTGCAAGTGCAACATACATACAGTGTACAATCTCATTGTGCAACTCAAGGAATTTTTGCCTATATAGTATATACCCATATAACTACCACCTATGTTAAGATGTGAAACATTTCCAAGAAATTCCTTCATGTCCACAACCAGCTGATAGCTCTTACCAGGGATCACCATTTTTCTTTTTCTTTTTCTTTTTCTTTTGAAACAGAGTCTTGTTCTTATCACCTAGGCTGGAGTGCAATGGCATGATCTCAGCTCACTGCAATCTCCACCTCCCAGGTTCCCAGGTTCAGGTGATTATCCAGTCTCAGCCTACTGAGTAGCTGGTATTACAGGCAAGCACCACCACTCTCTGCTAATTTTTTTCTATTTTTAGTAGAGACAGGGTTTCACCATGTTGGCCAGGCTGGTCTCGAACTCCTGACCTTATGGTTCACCCACCTCGGCCTCCTGAAGTGCTGGGATTATAGGTGTGCGCCACCGTGCCCCGCCAATCTCCACTTTTCTAACTATTTAATATAACAATGGATTACTTGCCTGTTCCCAAACTCCATGTAAATAGAATGTTTTAACCTGTACTCTTTAACATCTAGTTTCTTTCACTCATCATAACGATTTTAAAATCTATCCTGTTGTTACATGGTTCATTAGTTTGTTCCTTTCATTGCTAGGTAGTATTCCATTGTACAATTATGTCGAATTTATCTATTTCCCTATGGATAAACATTTGAGTTGTTTCCCATTTGAGGCTATTATGAGTAGAACTATAAATTTTCTTACACCAGTCTCTTTGCAGACCTTTACGTTCAATATTCTTGGGTAAATTCTTGGGAGTGGAATTGACGGGTCACAGAGAATATTTTTAAATATCAGTTTTCCAAAATAGTTGTACTCTTTTTATATGCCCACTCAAAATAATTCTTTTTTATTATTATTTAAATCAACTCCAGTTTAAAAAGAAAGAAAAACAAAAGTTGGTCTTAATGAAAAATAAATGACAATGAATAAAGAGCTTTCTAAATTATTTGGAATAGTCAAGGAAACTCATGTGCAATGTGCAGAGCTATCTGACAGCAAATCCCCCAGGCAAACACTTTGATTTTGATCATTGGTTTGGAAACAATTTTAGCCACTTAGATCAAAGTTTTTCACAAAGATGAGTCAAGCAGGGGCCCAAATCCCAAGAGGAGAAGAATTTACATAAAGCGTCCTCCAGATGAGATTTTCACTTTGTTAAAACGGACTACCCAAAGGGGAAAGGAAGCCTTCCCACGTGGCACCCTTGTTCACCCGGCCAGCCCAGCGCTGTGACAAATGAAGCCTAACACAGCTCGCCTACAGGCACTGATTTGGCTTTGTGTTTCCCCTGAGTTCTGCTTCAAATAAACAGATCAGGGAAGTTTATTAATGATGCACTCTGGGGCATCAGGCTGTGATAGGCAGCAGGCTGCACACAGCCCCACTGGCCGGTCTGCAGCCTTCACAGGAGGCAGCGCTAAGTCCTGCCTGTTTCTGCGACATCCTGATACCCACGGTGATGCTTTCATTGGTTGTAACGGAGTTAAGGAGGAAGAAAGGAAGACTGGAAAGCCAGAATAGCAACTCCAATCTCAGCAACTTCAGGGGGACGCTCAGAGATGCTCAATGCAATGTTTGCCTGTTTGGAAAATTTCAAAATTGGCAACAACCTAGATGCCCCAAAGTAGGAAATGGTTAAATAAAAGCCCCTCTTCCCCCTGTAGACAATGGGAATCATTGTGTTTGAGAGCAGAGAGATTATACAACGAGGCCTTAGAAAAATCCTGAGGCAGCAATGGACTGAGCACAGGGTGGAGGTTGAGGCGGGGGTGCAAAAAGAGCACCAGATCAGAGGGCTCTAAGCACATCATAGACAATTATTTCCAGACCACTCAGGAATAAAGGAGTGCAAACCAATGAAATTCTTACGACGTTCATTATTAATAAGCGCCCTAGCTTCCAGAAGGAAAGGAGTAAGAAACTCCTTTTTTTTTTTTTTTAAGACAGGGTCTCACTTCCAAAGTCCAGGCTGGCTTGCAGTGGCACTGTTACAGCTCACTGCAGCCTCAACTTCCTGGGCTCAGGTGATTCTCCCATCTCAGCCTCCTGAGTACCTGGGATTACAGGTGGGTGCCAATATCCCCAGCTAATTTTTGTATTTTTAGTAGAGACAGAGTCTCACCATGTTGCCCAGGCTGGTCTCGAACTCCTGAGCTCAAATGATCAGCCTGCCTCAACTTTCCAAAGTGCTGAGATTTACAAGCATGAGTCACTGCACCTGGCTGAAACTGCACGTTTTTGAGTAGCTACCGTGGGTCAAGCACTGGGTCAGGCACTCACCACGTATTAATTGCCTTAATCCCCACAATAGGTCTGTGAAGCAAGTGCCATGATCCTCATTTCAAACGTGAGCTCTGCCTCAGAGAAGTTAAAAAAAAACTTTCAGAAGTTCCCCCAACTAACCAGAGAAAGAGCAGGATTCAAACGCCAGTCTTTCTAGGCCAAGCCCTTGTTCTAGACTTTACTGACAGCAAATAAGGTTGAAAAGGAGTTTTTAAATGGGCAGCTGCTACCCTTAGCCACAGGCAGGATTCCCATGCTCAGCTTGAGCAGAGAGATGGGCTTCCTCTAGAGTTCCCCTCTTAACGAAATGGCTCTCCACTGCCCAACTTTAGCTTGTTTTCCTAGGAAGAAGGTTGCATAAAAAGCCTCTTCCCATGAAAGCACTGCCTTCCCGAGCGTAGCGACCAGCCTTGAGCTTTACATGGCAGTGACTTTTCCTGCCGTCCCCATCCAAATTGCATTGATGGCTTTCCTGCTACCTAACTCAATTTTCTAATGCAAAGGAAAGCAACCCTGCCTTCTTCACTCACTATCTTATTTAGAGATGCTTCCCTATCACTAGAGTGCTGGGGTTTTTACAATCCACACAAACAACAATGCATTGCTTCAATTATTGTCTATTGCATGTTTTGGGGTCTTCTTGATAACAGCAGATTGAAGCACACTTGGCTGGTTTGCCCTTATTAAACCATGAAGGTCACTTCTCTTCCAGGGACCGTAATCAGCGAGCCCTCTCTTCTCTCCCACAAATGCATCTCTTCCAGAGCCTTTTGCAATTATGGCTCATTTCTCTAGGTTTCATATGGCAGGCATCTGAACAGAATTAAAAGCATGAGCACGTGCAAAAATAATCCGCTTCCCAAGATAGTAAATGCTGAGAAGTTCTATATTAGAACACACTGTGAGTGCTGACTGGCTAGGGCATGATTAACCTAATAGGCTTAAGCTCCACTTGCCATCCACATCTGTCAGGATGGGAGCAAAACACAGGCCCGTAATCCACCAGACTGGGGGCCTTCAGAATTGTCCCGCTGCTCACTAACAGCAGAGGACTCCAAACTTAGAACAACAACAGGATGACAGGTACCACTCCCTCTTCACGTTTGGGCCAAGAAAATACAGAAAGCTGGTTCCAAGTTTAGGATATTGTACCATGGACTTCAAAGGATTCTGGCCTGAAAATTGCCGGGAAGGACTAGTAAGATTGCCTTTTGTGTCTATTTCAAAGATGATTCTTGGAAAATTGTGAAGGCTGTGGGTGGAAGATCACTATGAGCTGAAATCATGGGCTGTACACCTTCACACAGTGACATTGTAAACAGTGTTGCAAAGAGTGGCATTCAGTTCTTGAAAAAACCCAAAGCCATTCGGCCAGGATGTCCGGGTGGCAGTGAAAGAGGTTCCATCCCTCTGCTGGTTAAAAACTCCACCTGCTATGACGCTGGGGAGGGCCTGGCAGAGGAGCAGCCAAGTTCCAGGAGGAACCAAACCACAGCTAAAGGTCTTTGTCAGCTCATGAGAGATCCTGCTTCAGGCGAAAGGAAAGATATGGAAGGACTAATCCCAGGAACCAAAACCTCTTCATCCCAGCCCAACAAATCACAAAGCCACATGGCTAAAGACATTCCGTTCAAGACACAGGGTTCCCATGGATCTCAAGGGGCAGAACTTTCTGGAGATGAGAGTGAGGAAAGTAGTACCCAAGATGATTCCAAGTGGAAAAGGACACCAAAATGCCACACGTCAAGCGCACAGAGCCACTGCCGCCAAACCATCCACAGTGCTCATGGGTCTGAAGGCAAAGTGGACTTCCCGGAGCCGCTGGTAAAGGCCCACCAGCACGCTTATGCCTATCTACACTCCAGCCTCTCCAAATACGAAGCAATTCTGCGCATCATCCATCAGGCCACCCAGACCCGGGAGCTGCTGCAGCCCATGGTCAGCTTCCTGCTGCTGTGCTTTGAGGAGATCAGCCAGCTGTTGGGGGAGATCTCCAAGGATGGAGAAGTGCTCCTGCAGGAAGTTAGGGAGGATCTGGCTTGGCCTTTGAAGAAAAGGGAGCCCCAGGAGCAGCCAGACCTCCTGCAACAGCTGCTGCAGTACACAGTCAGCAAGCTGCAGGTGCTCAATGGCACGGTGGCCTTGCTCACCAGCAGCTTCCTGGAGGGCTCCAGCAGCTACCTCCACTCCACCGCAGCCCACTTGGAAAATAAGCTGAGCACAAAAAAGAATGTGGATGAGTGCGTCCTGAGGGCTCTGGGGCAGCTAGAGAGCCTCGCAAGTGGCTGTGGTGACCCTGGAGTACAGGGTCTCCCCTTATGCTCAGAGGACAGTGGCATTGGTGCTGACAATGAGTCTGTGCAGTCAGTGGACAAGCTAGGCAAACAAACCAGCTGGGACCTTGCACCAGATCCCAAAGAATGGAAGTCAGTGACTTTGCCCTACACAGAGGCCAGGCAGGCAGGACACACCTGGCAACAAAGTTCATTCTGTATGGATTCAGGCCGACCCCAGGACTGCCTGTTCTCAGGGGTTCCTATGGCAAAGGTTCAGCCACAAGCACAGGACGAAGCAAGGAGCCCCTGCCTCTCCAGCACAAACCCAGAAAATATCACCTCCCTGCCTTTGGAGCTGGAAACAAGCACCCCAAGTGATTCATTTGGGATTGGGGCCCCTGTGGAAGCACATCTTTCCAAAACCTCCAGACTGATGGACACTCCATCTCTTAGTGACAGCGAGGACAGCAGCTCAGAGGAAGAGGAAGAAGAAATGAGCAGCATGAGTGTGTGTGCATGGCAGGTAAAAGCTCCAGATTCAAGGCCACGATCTTCACCTGCTGACTGGGAAAGTCCATTTCAGTCCCACTCCAGGAGGCTTAGGAGCTCCCAGGCTCAGGAAATGATTCTGAAGATGAAGAAAGCAATCAGCGAAAGGATCAAGTTTGTCCCTGTGCCCTCTGGGCACCAGGACTGGTCAGAGGAGGAGGAGGGGAGAACAGCGGTCCCCTCAAGACCTAGCACGGTCAGTGGCAGCAGGAGGGCCCCCGAGAGGCAGAGGAGGTCCCAGTCAGAGTCGAGTCTACAGAGTCACGTGGAGGACCCCACCCTTCAGGAGCTTCGAAGGGTCCAGAGGGACCTCAGTCAGAAGCTGGAGGCATTTTATGCCCTGGGCACTAAAGGGCGGGGGCAGAGCCAGGAGCAGATTCCACAGCCCAGGGCAGCAGCCGAGTGGCCCAATGGTGCCTGCAGGGTCAGTTCAAGCAGTACCACCAGCAGGCTCAAGGCGTCCCTCACCAAGAACTTCAGCATTTTGCCTAGTCAGGACAAGAGCATCTTGCAGAAATGCAGTCCCCATCCTGAGGACAAACAGGGCAAAGCTGAGAAGCTTCCAGATGCCACCCTATCAGGAGAGTTCAGTGAGGCTGCTGGGGCCAAAGACTGGAATGTCAGGGCCTGTCCCACCAGAACATCCGTCAAGAAGCTCATTGAAACTTTCAGTCCCATGGAGAGTCTGAGGACGCTGGGGGACTCCAAGGACTCTGAGGAAAGTCCCTACCTGAGGAATAGCATCATGCCCCCCAGATTTCCCATGTCCAGGGGGCTTGCCCCTTTGTATCCGAAGCCCCAAATTTCTCCAGCCTCAGGCAGAGAATCTCTCAAAATGGGCATAGGCTGGAAGCCCTTAGCACCTATCTTTCCCCCTCTGCCTAAAGCAGAAGCAGCCAAGAGTGAGGAGCTCAGCTGTGAAGTGGAGGGGAACCCTGAGCACCTCCCTCCACCACCCCTGGAAGTCCTGATGGACAAATCATTTACTTCTCTGGAGTCCCAAGAAAGCACCGAGTCCACAGAGAGCTCTCCCGAGGAAACGCAGGAATCAGGGCCAGGAGAGGCTGGCCCCACCAGGAGAACATGGGCTTCCCCAAAGCTGAGGGCCTCTGTGAGCCCCCTGGACTTGCTGCCCAGCAAGAGCACCGCCAGCCCCACCAAGCCTCGCAGCACAGAGCCAGGGAGTGGCAAGAGCAGCTGCCAGCCCAGGAAGCCAGCCCTGGACCTGAGCCACCCACCAGCCACTAGCCACAGCCCAGAGGTGAAGGGTGGGACTTGGAGTCGGACAGAGAAGGCCGCCAGCCTCTCCAGGCAGCCCCGGAAGGCAGCTGCCTGGCACCACTCCAGCCCTCCATCCGGACAGAACAGGACCTCAGAGTCCAGCCTGGCCAGACTGAGGCAGAGCCGAGAGAGAAGCCCCGCTGTGGGCAGAAAAGACTCTCCCACGAGGACACACTGGGTGCCCCAAGCAGAGAAGAGGCGCCGGAGCCTGCCCCCCTCTTACAGACCTGCCCAGCCAGGCCCCTCTGCTATGCAGACACTCCCCAGCCCACCACTCAGCCCTGGAGCTTCCAGCCCACTGGTGAGCCCCAGGGTGCTAAGCCCACCAACCACAAAGCGGCGAACGTACCCACCGTGCCAGGCCAAGCTGCCCAGCCCTCCCCCGGAAAGCCCACCCGCTCAGTGCAAGGTCTCCAGCCCTCCAAGCCAGCGCCCAGAAGCAAGCCCCCCTTCCTCAGTTCCCTCCCCATCACCCCCAATGTCCCCGTCTCAGGGGCACAAGGAAACAAGAGACTCTGAAGACAGCCAAGCAGTCACAGCCAAAGTGTCTGGGAACACACATTCCATATTCTGCCCGGCCACCTCCTCTCTGTTTGAAGCTAAATCGCCACTCTCAACAGCCCACCCACTGACCCCACCAGAGGCTGGGGGCCCTCTTGGGAACCCAGCAGGGTGCTGGAGGAGCAGCTCAGGGCCTTGGCTGAGAGCAGACTCACAGCGGAGAGCAGCTCTGTGTGCCCTCAACCCTCTGCCTTTCCTCAGAAGGACAGCTTCTGACCGCCAGCCGGGTGCCCGCCTGCAGCCTCCCAACCCCACCAGCACCTCCTGTGAATCCCAGCCCGGCCAAAGCAGGTAAGCAGTGTCCTGGGCTCACCACCCTTCAGCAGCTTGGAATAGAGAGGAACAGAGCAAATGGGCCTCAGGATCCTCTGGGTCAGTAGTTTTCAGACTGCACTCCAAGAGAAGAGGCAGTTGGGAAAAAGAGGTATAGCCGGGGCAGTTCCAGCTCCCCACTCTCCAAGCTTGAGTTTACTGTAATCTGTTACACATTCCAGGTTCCTGAGAAAGATTTTAATTGAAAAGAGGCCCTGCTGTGTTAAAAAGTAAAATTGAAATGAGAACACCTGGACACAGGAAGGGTGCACACCCGGGCCTGCCGGGGGTGGGGGGCGAGGGGAGGGAGAGCCTTAGGACAAATAGCTAATGGGGCTTCAAAGCTAGATGACGGGTTGATGGGTGCAGCAGACCTCCATGAAGCCTGTAGACCTATGTAACAAACCTGCACATTCTGCACATGTATCCCGGAACTTAAAGTACCAAAAAAAGAAAGAAATACATCAAAAAATAAAATAATAAAGTTCAAAACATTCAAGTTAGTTTAGCCCCACATACCTCAGGTTTTACAGTGGGGTAAACTGAGAGGAAAAGACCTGCCCCTGGGGCTGGCCCTTGGGCTCCCGGTTTCTGCCTCACTGCAGGAAACCAGCATCTAGTTGGAAGGTTCTCAGACGATTTGGTCCCAGCACAGGTTTAAACCCTTTAAAATTCTTAAGAGCCCAAAAGAGCCTTTGTGTGTGGAGGCTGTACCTATCAATGTTTACTGTATTGGAAGTTAAAACTGAGAAATATGTAAAATATTTATTATTTTTTAAAGAAACGTTACATGTTAACACAAATAATATACTCTTACAAAAAGTGTATGTTTTCTTTTCTTTTGTCTACTTGTTTTTAAAGCTTTTATGTTAGGGTCATGGTCACATATATAGGTTTGCTATATGGGTAAACTTGTGTCACCGGGGTTTAGTGTACAGATTATTTCATCACCCAGGGGATCATGACCCAATAGTCATTTTTTTTTTCTGCTCCTCTTCCTCCTCCCACCCTCTACCCTCAAGTAGGCCCGGGCTAAGGATAACTAATGGCCTCTAACTCCATCCATGTTCCTGCAAAAGTCATGATCTTGTTCTCTGCTGCGGCTGCCGAGTACTCCATGGTGTATATGTGTCACATTTTCTTTATCCAGTCTGTCATTGATGAGGCATTTGGGTTGATTCCACGTCTTTGCTATTGTGAACAGTGCTGCAGTGAACATCCGCATGCATGTGTCTTTACAAAAAGAGTATTTTCTACAACAAAAAATTGAGGGAAAAGAGTAGCACTGTCTTATATTTTTCAAATCTCTTTAACATCTGGCTTAATATGAAGAGATAACTGGATTCTCAGCTCTGTTTCCTTAGTCAATCTGTTGGGATCTCATTCCTCACGTAGTAGACTCTGGGATCTCTACCCTACATTCACAAGAGAATGAGTGAGAAGGAGAAGTGACATCTTAGTATTATGATGAAAATACGAGGTCAACTAAATAGTTTTGACCTATTAGTGTATCGGGAATGACCAAGGGTCCCCAGACCTCACTTTGAGAACAGCTAGTCCTAGAGGCATGGAATATAAATGTGTGGCTTCCTGTATCCCCGAAGACCTGGCTCCACTTCTCCTCTAACTTCAAAAGTTTGTAGAGTGAGAGAACAAAAGTCTTCATGAGTGCTGAGCACCAGAATCCAGGGATGGAGCTGCTACTTCTCCCTAGGGCAGGCTGACTTCCAAGCGTGCCTTTCTCATCAGGGAACAGATGTGCACGCCATTGGCCCAGCCATGCCGACAGTCCCAGACAGGCAGCCACGATGGGGCACGAGTCAAAGTGCAGCCATCGCATGGGCACTGCAAGAACTCGGATGCTCCAGTGGTTATTTTACAGAATACATGGAGAAATGTACCTTTTCTCAAACTGTGACGCAGAAACAAAAAAAATATCTGAGGTCTATTAGAGAAGAACTCTTATCAATGCGTCTTGATATCAGATCAGACAAAGCTCAGCTACCATCCGTCCTTGCTATCTGTGTATAGCCTACAACTGTACAAATCAGCAGTTAAATTTCTGCCAGTGATATGGTTGCAGACTTCACGATCTGTCCGGGCACAAATCGTAATTTTTTACAAAATACTCGGCAGTCAATTTTAAATAAAGATATTATCTTGGGAAAGTTGTGCACTATTACAGTTAGATAAACTTCCCCAGCCACTTGAAAGAAATGAAATATGGATTATTTTTGCAAGAATCTTAATGTAACATTGCTCTTTTCTTAAATCTAAAATGAGCTTCCTACAGTACCCTGGTTTTCATCTAAGAAGCTCTATAAATGTTAATGCATTATTCCTTACTCCAGCCACTTATTCAGTTATTAGATTTCAAAAACTGCCCTTCAGGAGAAGAGCTTGAGAGAACAGGCACAATAAAATGACATTAATTAAAAACACTAACATTTTAAAACAGCAGGAGCAATAATAAAGTAACATAAAATTGTTCAAGAAGAAAATAATGCCCTTCTCCCAGGCTTCTCCTCAGAATAGGGAAGCCCAGAGGTTGTTTTATATCCTGAATCTCAATAATTGGGGCAGAGGCGGTGGGGAGGAGACAGTGGCTTGAAAGACAAAGGACAGTTAGGCACAGTGGCTCACACCTGTAATCCCAGCACTTTAGGAGGCCAAGGAGGGTTGATTACCTGAGGTCAGGAGTTCAAGAGGAGCCTGGCCAATATGCTGAAACCCCATCTCTACTAAAAATACAAAAATTAGCCTGGCATGGTGGTGCACGCCTATAGTCCCAGCTACTCAGGAGGCTGAGGCACAAGAATCACTTTAACCTGGGAGGTGGTGGTTACAGTGAGCCAAGATTGTACCATTGCACTCCAGCCTGAGTGGGAGAATGAGGCTCCATCTCAAGAAAAAAAAAAAAAGAAAGAAAGAAAGAGAGGAGAGTTCATAAACAGAGGCTCCCCAAAGTCATGTGGAAGTTTATATAGTAACTCACAACCATTCCCCTGCCTCTTACAACACCACACAGCTCTAAGCCTTTCCACACTGTGAGCATATGATGGGAAAGTGCTCATTCCCCAGCAACCCTGCTTCCAGGCATAAAGCTGGCATCTGGGAGCAGAAACGCACCTGCTGTAAACACACCAAGCCTTTGCCACCCTGTGGATGGCAAGCATTTTGTTCTGCCACCCTGTGGATGGCAAGCATTTTGTTCTGCCACCCTGTGGATGGCAAGCATTTTGTTCTGCCATCCTGTGGATGGCAAGCATTTTGTTCTGCCATCCTGCATCTGGGGAAACAACACCAGGAACTGAGCACATGATTCCCCCCAAGATCATGCAACAAGCCAGTGCCAGAGAGCCAGAGACTGAGAACGGGCTGTTTCCCCAGGCAGGGACATGCACCTGCAGGGACACAAGCCCAGCCACGATGCCTTGCAGCAGAGGCAGGCTGCAGATTGAACCAGCCTGCCCTTCCAGACACCCCATGCCAGGTAGGAGCCCTCTTTGTAGAAAAATGGATGATGTTTCTATCTCCTGATCTCGGGGCCCTGGGAATTGGGAACAGGCCTTGGAGGCTTACTCAGGAAGCTCAATTACTGAGCTAGCAGGGGTGCCAGCCTCTAGGTCTCAGGATGTTGGGGCACTGTGTGCATTGGAGAAGGCTCCAGACTTTCTCCCCTCAATGTGATGCTTTCAGTCCTTGCCTGACCCAGACTGCCCAGGCACATGCACTCTGCCGCCTTTACTCAGCCTCCTGGATTGCACTGCCCAGTGGGCCCTGGGCCCTGAACACCTGTAGGGACCTGTGATGGGGCCCGAGGCCAACTCTGGTGCGACTGCCTCCATGGCACAGTGAGTTGGGTTCCTTCCTGTGTGACAATCAGAGCTGTGTGCTGGTCTTGGCGTCCATCTCACTTAACCTGCAACTCCCACCACCCGCCTCGATTTTGTTCAGATCCAAATGCAAACGTATTCTCCACTGGTTTGGCATCCCACATAAGTCTAACCTCACAGAGCTGAGCACACTGCACCACAAAGCTCACAGATAAGGCAAGAATGTGCGGTCATGGGCAGAGAGAAGGGCCTTCTTGCCTGTGCACGTGGGGAACCACAGTCCTGTCCTGGCCCTGAGGCAACAGATTGAGAGCTCTGACCAAGGCCCCATAGTCTCTGTAGGACAATAGTGTGGTCCCTAGAGCCCCTTCCTAGTGTGACTCCCCATTCATTCAACAATGTGGCACCACAGAATCGCCACCCCTCAATGGAGTACTTACGCTATTAATATAATAGTACGCCAAAGGTCATCCGTGCTTCACCCAGTATTGATACCTATGAATGCCTGATGAGATGGGCACTATTATTACTTCCATTTTATAAGGAAGGAATCTAACACTCAGAGGGATGAACTAACACGCCACAGGGGACACAGCTAGTAAGCCAGAGAGTCAGGACATGAACCCAGGCAGCTAGCCTCTAATCTCCCCCGGGGAGCCTCAGGCTGTCTTGCCAGCAGACGGCCAGGGTGGCTTCCTGGGCTGGTCCTCTGCTAGCCACAGCTTGCTCCCTGCTGGGGGCCACCCCCCATTCTGCACTTCCATGCATGCCAAATTCCATGGAGGCTCCTGTGGGGGTCCCCTCCCCATGCAAAGCCCCCTCTAGCTGTGTCGCTCCGCAGCTGGGAAGCTCTGTTCTAGCCAGATTCGGGGCCTGGGCTGGGTCGAGCTGCTTGCATTTTTCTCCATTCAGGGAGAGGGTGGCAGCTGCGAGAAGCTGTTTTTTTCCTTGTTGTTGTTGTGTCGTCTTTAATTCAACTGGTTAAGCTTAGCCCTTATTAAACAAAGTGCTTTAAAAACAAAACAACACAAAGGCCCAGCTCCCAGAGCTTCTGAGAGAGTGGCTTTGTTCAGAGCAGCAGGATCCAGGGCTTCAGGGGAAAGAACAGGACTCAGCCTGTCACCCCAGCGCCCGCAGCCCCCGCCCTGCAGACACAGCCAAGCAAGCCTGGTACAGACGTCAGAGGCCCTGCTCCAGGGTGAACAGGCCTGTGGGAGAGATCTGGGGAGGGACAGAAAGGGAGAATGGAGGAAGGGGATGGGGTGGGAAAGAGCAGCAGAGGAGGAGTGTCTGACCTGCCCTTGTCCTTTCTCTCAGCAGCAGCAGCAGCAGCAGCAGCAGCAGCAGCAGCAGCAGCAGCAGCGAGGAGAGCCCTAAGAAGGATGCAGAGCCAGGGAGCAGCCCCTGTGCCCCTGAATTACAGGGCAGCGGCAGGCATGCATCTCCCCCAGAGTTCTGTGTGCTGGGCCACGGGCTGCAACCGGGCTGACAAGGGGGCCACACTTATGCCGTCAGCCCAGGCCACGTGTGACAGTCAAGTGTCCAGCCTGACCCAGAGGCATAGCCCCAACAGGAGGAGGTGTCCTGACAGGCTGACAAGGGGGCCACACTCATGCCGTCAGCCCAGAAGGCCAAGTGTGACAGCCAAGTGTCCAGCCTGACCCAGAGGTGGTGGGCAAACCAAACTCCTACTGAGGCGTCCTGGAAAGGCTTGGAAGATCCACTGCCCAGTGGGTCTGCTGAATTTTAAACAGTCACCGGTTTCAGTCCCAGATCCTGCTCTGCCTTGGAGTTCAAAGGTTCACCAGAACTTTAGACCCCACAATGACAGTATTTAATCCTTCAAATGCTGGCCTTAATTTGTTGCATGCTTGATGGGGTTTTACCTGGGTTCGTTCCATGAAATCACTTAAGCCTCACAACAGGGAATAAAGCAGACAGCATTCTCTAGTTTTGTGCATATGAAAACCGAAGGTGTGGAGAGGAGGCCCCTCTCAAGTGTCCTGCTGAAGGTCATAGAGCTAAGAAGAGAATAGAGTGAAATTTTGCACAGATGAGTCTGGTGCTAGAATCTCTCTGCTCTTTTTATTACGTTCCACTGCCCATAGGTAGCGTGTCACTCCACCTGCCTAAAGCAGACGTAGGTGCACAAATGATTGGAAAGCTTCTTTGTTGTAAGGTTAAGCAGTGGCACAGCATTGAAGCCTCCACTGAGAGCTTTGTTTGGACGTGCATGGTTCCCAAAATGAGAAGGCTGAGTGAGCTGGGATTAAAACACACAGCCCCACCCACCCTCTGTCCTCTCCTCCTTCCCAAGCTGAGTTTCAATGTTGTAAACTTAAAGCTGGCAGCTCACAATACCAGCCACACTGACTCTCGGCCTAAGCGCGTTGCAGATGTTCTCACTGCCCGACGTATTACGTGCTTCTCGACTGAGTAGGGTGAACCAAGCCTCCCAAACAGGTACCCCATTCTCCACTTGCCTTGCGTGCTGGAGCTCAGAAGACAGCGTAGGTAAGGCATATACACTCACACGCCAATCCCCTCTCGGAGGCTTCTTGGCCAACTGTCTTCCCAGGTCATCTTGCAGAACTTCTGCTGGAGTCAAAATCAAAGTGAAAATAGTTGTTCATGCCAAAAACCTGCTTCTGCCAATGAGCTAGATATTTGCGGCAGATCTTGGAATGTTTCCACTGGAGGCTGTGGTATGCGTTCTATTTAGAAAAGATTTTGCAGTAATTGAGTGATTCAGTGCCCGCTCAGTGGGTTGGCAAAACACAATGATTCTTACCCACCGGGGTACAGCTAAAGGATGATCCTCCAGATCTGCCGCAAAGCTCATTTTTTTAAGTTTGGGGAAATTATAGACCTCAAACCCATTCTTGCTGAAATAGATTGTGGGCTCAAAAACTTGTTAAACTGAGTCCCTAGGGACTACAGCGACCTCCCCCAGAGCGAGGCTATGACTCTGAGTAAATGAATCCCACCTCAACTTGTCCAGTTATTATTCAAAGGCACTCAAAGAACAGCTGATTAAACTACCAAGAGCGGCCACAGCCCATCCTTCTGCTGGAAACGCACATACCCAGCTATCTGCTCACGTGTGTTCCTGTTGCCACCCTCATCTCAGAGCAGTGCTCAGGCAGTGCCCAGGCTGGCCGATGCTAGAGCCAAGCCACACCCACCTCTGGGTGGACACTTGAGAGCTGCCTGGGCTGCAGGCAATGCTGGGAAGTCCAGCCACCCCAGCAGGGCAGGGGCTGAGATAAGCATGTGAGAATGAACCAGGTTCAGGTATCTTGCCCAATAGAGATCTGGGCATTCTCCCTAAATGATTGGGCAGGCCAACCATTGGGTTACCATGGGGTGAGCCTTAGGTTGGCTGGGCACTGAGCTGAGTAAGCAGGAGACACACAATGTGGGCAGCCTTTGAGGTCTAGCTCACAGGTAAGTGGCTTCAGGTGGGACCGCTCAGAAATCAGGCCCTGCCTGGACTAGGATTTAGGGGCAGGATTCCTGGAGCTCCGAGGAAACCAAGCTGTTCCCCAGCTGCAGGAAGACTGGAGTGAGATACAGTGGGTGAACCTGGGGTACCATAAGGCGGTGTAACCACAGGAATCATAAAAATTTTAGTTACTGGAACCAAGATATGAAGTAGAGCGAGACCAGCAGTGAGGGGAAGCAAGGCTGAGTCTCCAGCCCAGGCCTCCTTCTCTAAAGGGCCTCATCTTAGAAGTCCAGGGCTGTGTAGAAAGTGGAAAGGGGGGCCGAGTGCCCCCCGCTGTGGCCATGCAGGCTAGCAGGGAAAGCAGGGAGCCAGGCAGAGGATTCCACCACAGAAGGGGGCAGTGTCATGGAGATGATGCAGGAAGGTCCAGAATGAGTGCTGCTTTCCATGGGCGTGCATGACAGGAAGCTGAGACTGGAAGTTGCCCCTTGCCAGGCTAGGCTGGTAAGCAGCAGGAAGTGCCCCCCTCATGTTGCAGGTGGCAGATGAGGGGTATAGGGCACCTAGGTTCCTACCATCAGCTGTGGAGATGCCCGTGATGCCTCCTTGTCCCTCTGGAAGACCTCCACATTTGCTTGGTGCCAACATGTGCCAGGACAGGGCAAAGTTCCTGCCATATGCCCCCACATGTGATGTCATAAGAGCCCCCAGCTGCCAGGATACCCAGGCAGCAGGGACAGTGAGCTGGTGACACCATTGTGTTGCCCAGTGACCCAAGACTACTGAAATTCCAAGTCAGCTTCCCCCACTTCAGGGAAGACAGGGAGGGGTTACCAAGGGGCTGGGGGCTGGGGGTCAATGAGGTCAAAGGCAAAGCAGTACCAAGCCCAACACAGGAGTAGGTGGGTCAAAGATATGTTTTTGGCTACCATACCAACTACCAGACTTAGCTCAAATTACAGGTGAGTTAGACTTTGTACAAAAGCAATTAAATCCACAACGGAACAGTTTTGTGGCATCTGCTCAGTTTTGCCCCTCCTAGAGACCAAGCCTTCCACAAACTTGAGTCTTCCTTAGAGCACACATTTCTGGTGGCAGAAGGGGGCAAACCCAGCTGCACAGTCTCAGATGGGCTGCTCATGCCCACCCTCTCCCTGCCACCCGAGAATGGTATCCTTGCTAGGCCAAGTCCACTTCCTTTGCCCAAGGGAGAAGGGAGGACAGTTTTTCTTTGTTCTGCCTTTTGTTTTGGGGTTTAAAAAAAAAATTCTTATGAAGCCAGTGGATCCAACTCATTGAAGACCCATGAGTCTGCATTTTTTCTTCATAGAGTTAGAAACCAAGGACTGTCGGGGATACACACAAGGAGGAATCCACCACAGATCAAGCTAAGGGGCACATACCACACCCATCTTTTTCCTCAGCCAGCTCCACTCTGGAGGAGCGCAGCCTTCATCCTCCCGACCATGGAGGCCCCAGAGTTATGGAGAGGGAGGTACTGAGCCCAGCCCTTTACACAACACTTTAGGGACACTGTAAACAGTTCCACTTCAGGGAAAAAAAACACAATTTTCTGCTTCTATCAAAAGGATTCATGGAGAAAAAAAAAAGAAAACATCATATTCTGGCAGAGCAGTGATAGCTTTTTGCAAGTATAACTACAATCTTCAAGATGAAATATAACCTCCCTCCACGGCTGGGGTCTGGGCTGTTGTTTACTCTAAGGAGCATCTATTTTCCTTCTTCATGTCGTATGCCCAGTTCAGAGGCTGAAATAATCCATGTTGATAAGAAAGGCGGGGCAGGCAAACCAAAGAGACTCTTCTTTTTTTGTGAAGGGCCTAGGCTTGACAAGACTTGCCTCATAAATCGTGCAATGTGAATGAAAGGGATTTTGAGAAATATATTCTATTTCTGAAATAAACCCGTGTTTTGCATGTATCAGGGGAGCGGAGTGCAGTGAATTATAAGTGCTGACGTGTTTGTCAATTGATCATCGGCTTGACGGCTTACAGGCTGCTAAAGCACCCACTCTATCTTTCAAAGGAAATCTTTTCAAAGTAATATATTTTTAAGTAGCCCCACATCAAAGATTCAGTGGAACTGCCATAATGTACACATGTTCTGAGCCTGTACTAACAGAACATGTTATACTGCACTATTGTCTACTCCCCGTGCCGACCTGAAGTTTAAACAAAGTTCCATCAATCCAGCCAGACATTTTTATGAAATGTAATTAAAAATGCATCACACAAGAAGAGGAGCAAACAGTTAATCCACTGAGCACTCTAATTCAATTTTATGGAGGACCCTGGACGCCACAGGCTTGACTGCACTCCCGGACTTCAGAAAGTAACTTCAAGAATAGTCTGTGGGGCCCGCATCAGGTGGCTCTAGAATTCCACTGACCTGGTCACCTGCTTCTGAATGCTGTCATTCCAGACTCCCTTAAAGTCTAGCACATGAGGCGGCAATCGGTTTTGGCTGGAGTGATAGCACTGGCACGGCTCAGCTAAGGCCCATAGATAAAGCTGACCGACCTAAATTGGAGGAAGAAGAAAAAGAGGAGGAAGAGAGCAGGACGGGAAAGAAACAAGGACTATAGTAAATGGAACACTCACCCTCGGGAGCCAGAGGATATCACGCTCCTGAGGGTTGGAATTAGAACACCAGAGCCTGAGTCCTGACACCTCCCTTCCCTGGCTCTATGACCTGGCATCTCTGGACCTGTGTCTTCATCTGCAAAGCGGTGATAATAACATCAGCCTACTTATCCCACCATCTGCACAACAGGGGCAAACCTGTCTTTTCTGAGCCATCTTTTTGAGCCATCTCGGGGAACAGAACTCATAATCCTAGCCATTTTGGTCTCTAATGTTCATCTCTGCTGCCTCCGCACTGTAAGATCCCGATTAAGAGAAGAAGCCAATATCATTTCCCCCTCATTCCTGAGCTGCACTTTGATCTTTGGAGAAAGTTAAAAACAGCTGTCAAACTCTGCAAGAACTGACTTCCTTCTTTGAAGGTTTTCATGTCTTTCAAAGTGAAGAGAATAGACTTGACAACATTTGCTTGCAATCGCAAGTACGTATGTCAAATATGCCACATGGAAAAAAACAAATTAAGCTTCTGAATCTCCCGTCTTTCCCACATTGAGTCATGAGGCTGTCAGTCAGGACAGGAGGCCTGCAATTACTCTGAATGCTCCTAAACAGCAGGCTTTGCGCACAGTGTGGGCTGAGGCTCCCGTTAATAATAATTCTACCTTTCTTTGTATGCAACGCTCTACTTTTTCACAATGCGGTTATCTACAATGTTTCATTAAATCTTTGGGAGAAAAAAAGACTCTATGAGATGGACAAAGCAAGTGTCTTTTCAATACCTTTTACACATGAAAAAAAGATCTCACTCCAAAGATACATTGCCAGTGAGGGCAGAGCAGGCCCCTTACCCACCCTGGACAGTCTTCCTCCTGATACTGCTTTCAGCAGGATCTAGATTATTCCAGAGAAGCAGTACTGGAAGGAGACAGTATACCTTTCTATGGAAGAAATTCTCCGTTTTCTCCAACATTTACAAATAGGAAATTATTTTTCTGTTTAAAGATATAGAGTCTCACTCTGTCGCCCAGGCTGGAGTGAAGTGACATGATCATAGCTCACTGTAGCTCATTGCAGCCTCAAACTACTAAGCTCAAGTGATCCTCCCACCTCAGTCTCTGGATTAAGTGGGACTATAGGCATGTACCACCTATGCCCAGCTATGATTTTTTATTTTTTGTAGAGATGGGGTCTTGCTATGTTGCCCAGGCTGGTCTCAAACTCTTAGATTCAAGCAATCCTCCCACCTCAACCTCCCAAAGTGCTGGGATTACAGGTGTGAGCTGCCACACTTAGCCCAGGAAATTATTTTTCATCAACCAAAGTTCAGCTGTAATTCTAGCCATTCCTCAAACTAGCTTGGATGAAAACTCAAAACAAGGTTTCCATTTTTTTTTTTTTTTTTTTGAGACAGAGTGTCGCTCTGTCACCCAGGCTGGAGTGCAATGGCGAATGGCGCGATCTCGGCTCACTGCAACCTCCGCATCCCAGGTTCAAGCAATTCTCCTCCTCAGCCTTCTGAGTAGCTGGGACTACAGGCGCACACCACCATGCCCGGCTAATTTTTGTACTTTTAGTACAGATGGGGTTTCACTATATTGGTCAGGCTGGTCTCGAACTCTTGACCTCAGGTGATTCACCCGCCTCAGCCTCCCAAAGTGCTGGGATTACAGGCGTGAGCCACCCCATCCAGCCAAGAATTTTAAAAAATAATAAATCCCTCTATGAACCTCATCCACTCCCATCCTTTTCCACCTCCACCCCCGACCCATACACACATACACAACTGCTGCTAACATTAAGAAAAAAAAGTCTTTTCCAAAAAATATTTGCTTCTCATTGCCTGAACCCTGAAGTGGGCTTCCAGATGAAAGCTGGCAGGAGCAGACGCGGCCTCATTCTGGAGACAGCTCTTTATTGCCAGTGCCTCACAGCAGTAAAAACTGGTAGATGAGACAGAAAGGAGTATAGACACTGGGAAACAAATTGCCTTCATGAAAATTATTTATCTAGCTATTTTTTTTTCCTCCTTTGGAAGGGGACTGGATTGGCTATGTTTACAAAACCTGGTGACTTTTTTAAACGATTGTTTAGTTAGCAGCTTCTGACATCAGCTGCAAAGGTGCTGTATCACTTTAAGCATGTAAAAATTCTCAAGGAGAACCCAAGGTGATGCTAATAACAGCTGTCAACCCGCAGAGAGGTAATTATACAGATGTGATTAAAACAAAGCAAAGCCTTCAAATGTTATAGCCGGCTTCACTGGACCCCAGGGGACAGGAATGGTGAAACCAGCACACCCCCTGAATAAACCCTAGTAAAGATAAGGACCAAAGAGAAGCCCCCAAGTGGTCCCTGACTCAGAAACACGCACCCACCAGGGAGCACCCGTGCACAGTGATGCTGCCGTGCTGTCTGAGCCCGGCAGGGAGCAAGCAGTTAGGACGCTGCTTCCCAGCCTGCCTGATCTTCAGAATCAGCTACTTGATAATTTGCAGATTTCCAGCCCTTCCCCCCAGAAACAGATCGACAGCCGAGACTAAGAGCCTGCATTTTTAAAGAGCACTTGTTCCTGTCTCTCCCTGTTTCCCCCATAAGCAATTCTTTTCATCAACCACATTTGGTAAAGACTGGTTTAGGGTAAAGACTCCCAAGTGTGGGCTAGCCTGGGAACCTAATAACCACTGAAAGCTTTGAGATTGTGACGGAGGTTCTCAACCTGGAGAGTGAGTGACTGAAGTTCTGAATCAGTAGCTCTGGAGTACAACCCAGGGATCTGTACTTTAACAAGCACTGTGGGTGAGATTGTAACAAGCAGGCTGCCGTCCACACTTGGTGCCTACATTGTCCCCAGGCCAACAGCCTCCAATCAAGGCATACCTGAAGGCTTCCCTATTCCACTATGAAGCTTCAGCATTCCTCTGCTTGCATATGAGTCTTTGCCAAAACTCGGGTCATCATGGCAGGCTCCCTTGCTATAGCAAGCTCTGAATAGATTACACTTTTCTCATGTCTTCATTTGTGTTCACAAATCCTAACCCCACCAGAGGTTCACAGCATATCCTAATGATCACAGCTGACCAAGCAGACCCTCTCTGCCCTGAAGCTTTTGGGGGCAAAACTCTGGGACCAGACTAACTCCAGAAATTCATGGGATTTCAATGGATCCTCTCAAAGGGCTCAAACTGACCCAAGGAAAGGTAAATGTCTCTGAGCCATCAAGCATTCTGGAACAGAAAGTCAGGGGCTTTGGAGTCAAACAGGACTGGACACATACCCAGGTTTCAACCACTTTCTCGCTGTCTTAGGGCCTGACCCTCCGAAGTGTGGCCCCTGCCAGACACAGGATTAACATCACCTGAAAATTGGACAATACAGAATCTCAAGTCCCACCCAAACCTGCCGAAGCAGAATCTGCACTTTACCAAGATTCCCAGGAGATTCCTGTGCACTGACTGAGGCTGTTCATTAAGCATCACTGAGGCCCAGTTTCCTCATCAGGAAATGGGAGAAATAATATCTTCCTCATAAGATGTCAAGAAAAATGGCAGCCCTGGAACACAGCAGACATTGAATGAGAAGTTTGGTTCTTTCTCTCGGCTTCCCTTTCTGGGCCCTGTCTTCCGCCCTCTGTTACAAGGAGAACAGAAGATTTATGGTCATTTCTCCTTTCCTTTTCCTAATGGCAGAACTAAG